TCTAAAACTCCGAGGTACGACTAGGCAGCAGGGCAGGATCTGAACTGAGGTCATGGCTTTCTTTTATTTCCATTTCCTAACTCCTCTATGAGATGAAACATTCTAGCAGATCAAGAGCAGTCTTCCATTTTTTTTTAATCCCTTGCAGCTTTAGTGTGTTGGTTATTAGGGTGTGTCTCAGCTCCAAATCCACCCCATGCACTCTTCTGTGTGATGTCAGGCGTGGGATCCAGGTGCACTGCACTGGCCACTGCTCCTTTGCCCAGCTGGCTTCCCAAGAAGTTCTGTCAGTAGGGGCTGCTAGAGGAAGCCTGTGAGACAGGAGGGGAAGGAAGGCTTCTAGTTTGTTCCTTATGCCTGTGAGCATCAACCCAGCTTTTCTTTACTCCCAAAGCAGTTGGCTTCAGTTTTCTTTTCTCCGCTCCCATTTCAGAGGTACCAGCACCAGCAGAGCAGCATGCTTTTCTCAGATGCCTGGGTCCCTCCTCCACAGGATGCTTCTCCTAAGCTTTGGGGCTCTAATAACTGCATTCTCTATCACCCTGCAGTCACTATCTTTTTCTCTTTCGTATCACCTTTTTGTGTGTTCACTCCTCCAATCTCTGTTTAACCAATTTCTGATATTAATTTCCCCCTGTTAAAATAACTGGTAGGGTGTCTATCTTTCTGACTGGTTCTGACTGAGATATGGGTGGTTTAGCTGCTCCTGTCCATGCATACCACCTCCTGATGAGGAACCCCAGCTGGGCCCTTCCTAGGCCAAATGGCCGTGAGTGGAAAAGATCATCCACAAATAAGAAAGGCTGCCAAACTTGAAGGTGCATTCCTTTTTCCAGAAGCTTACACAGTCTGCCTATTACCAATCTCCACTTTGCAATATCTTTTCCAAGGTTAGCAGAATTATAAAAACATCAATTTGGCCATTATTGACTTTTCAACTGGGATACCAAGAAAGTCTTTCAGCAGCCCTGATAAATTAGATCTGGCCACCTAGTTCCCAGACTGGAAGGCTCCTACATCATTGACAGAAAAGACAGGAGAAAGCAGTTTTCCCAGCTGTTGCTGTAAATGATGTGCATTGTGCGCACAGCCATTAGCAGGTGGAGAGTTTGAAGTGTGGGTAGATTGCAGAGCTGCCTCTTTTAAAAATGCATAAGCACTTTGTGAGTTTGCTAAGTCATGTTCACTCAGCTGGGCTTGAATTTTTCATAGGGGAGAAATATTCTGTCATCTTTCTTCTTTTACTTCTTCTCAGTAAGGACTACCATGAAGAGTTTGAATGAACAGAATGCTTGTTGTATTACACAAACTATGAAACATCATATATATTAACTACTTCATTTAATTTTCTTAAAAGATCGGTGAAGAAGAGACTATTCACCTTATTTTTCAGATAAGGAAACAGAGTCTCAGATTTTTTTCTCCAGTATACCACAGCTGACAAATTGTGAGACTTGACTGTGGAACTTGAGATTTGCTCTGCCGTGTTTTTTGTCAACTTAAATAATTCAATATATGTGTTTAGTTCATTCATTCATTCATCAGACATTTAGCAAACCTTCTCTATGTGCCAGACACCAAAAAAAAAAAAAAAAAATGCTATAATATCCAACAAATTCAGCAATGGCTTATTCAGAAATAAGGTGGAACTATTAGACTTTTTGACCAGCAAGTAGTTAATAACTCTACCAAAAGGGAATAGGTTTTCTGCTTTTTAAAATGTCAATAAATCAGACTTTTCTTAGAATGAAATAGTTTTCTTCCCACATATGGCTAATCAATTGCAACCTATTTTTCCCCCAAAATGGAGAGAATTATTATTCCAGCCAGTATTGAAACCTCAGCAAATTAGAAGTCAAAGTATGTTGCAATTTGAAGCACTAAGGCATTTATCAAATCACTGTTTGCTGTGATTAGGGAGTGGGGATACTAGAATACCTTCAGTTACATAGTTGATCTTTCATGGGTCTCTTTTATGGGACCTGTGAGCATATATCAGCGGGACTGCAAGGGCGAAGGGGCCTGGTACTTATACCACATTCATGTTTGATTTAGAACCTCTTTGCTTGTGGTTAAGTTCTTGGGAAGAGGGTATCAAAGCAGACAATGCTTCCAAAAGAGAGATGGAGTGGTTTTCTTCTCACCCTTGATTATTTTTCAGATTTCACAATGACTCTTCACATAGTGCTTTAGCTGGACTGGATTAAACCTATTTTCTTACTTGATTTTGAAATAATATATAGACTTCAAAAGCCATCTTGTAAATGATCTTGCCAAAATGGTAAAGCATTCAAATATTCTCATAAAATATTGAAACATGTGGTAGCATGGCAGGCTACACTCAAATTAAGTTGTTCAGTTTCCCTTTAATAGTGATAGTGCTTTGAATAAGTGAAAAGTAAGATTTCTATTTGCCCTGAAGCAGGAGGATCCAGCTGACATTTAAGTACATGACGGTCCCAGCAGCTCAGGGAGCAGAACTGCAGCAGAGCCAGGTTCCTGGCTTGCTGTACAGTGGAAGGTTGTAGGAGCTTTCCATGGGAATATAGAGGGATCCCTCATGCCTCGGAGTCACATTGTTAAGATGAGCTTTAGAGAAGACTCCCATTTCCTCTGGAGTCCACTGAATGGAGTGACTTCAACTGGGAAGGGAACTCTTGGGCAGAAAGACTCAGGGCTTGCACTTCTACGGGTCCAGCAGGGTTTGTGGACAAAATATTTATCATCTTGCTTAAAGGTAATGGGCAAGTAGGTCTTGGAGATATATGCATGTATATATCTTTCTGTACTTCCTTTCCTCCTCCTTTTTCTTTTCTTCAAGGCAAAATTCAATTTCAGAACTTTTCCAGAAAGGACCAAATTACATCTGCTCTGGTCTGATGTGATTACTGTGCTCTAGCCCAATTCATTAGAACCCTTTCTCAGTTGAGTCATATTAGCACAGGGCTGGCTGAGTTTAGGGGGTGGGGCAGAGGCAGATTCTGCCTGCCAAAGGTGAGAGATGGACCCCCTGAAGTCCATGCTAGCAGACAGAAGCTATTTTCCATTGCTGATGTTTTCAGTCCCCAGCTGCTCCATGTCAAACTGTTTTTATGTTGCATGGGAGATATTTATTTGTAATGGCCTAGGATAACTAGGAGGTTTCTATTGTTGCCCATTGGACTGCTGCTTCTAATTTAATGACTATATAATACAAGGATTTTTCAATCCCATTTTGGAAAGGAACTTGGAAAGGGGGCACATGTTAGAGATACTTCTGGAGATGTGATTTACCGGGACTTTTTTTTTTTTCAATTCCTGGGACACTGTATCAAAATAAGATCAATAAATAATCAAATCACTTAGATAGGGAAATTCCGTCCTGTCTTTTTTTTAACCTAGTAGTTTGCATGTTTTTTCCCTACCCTGACCATATTAGAAATCATAATAAATTAGGATCATGTTGTAATGTGACCTATTACTAATGAGAATAAGACACAGTGAAAACAAAACTGGGTCTTCTCCAAAACATATGGAGATACTACATTATCCTTGTCTTTAGTATTAGTATATAAAAAAAGGAATTGTTTGTTTGTTTATTTATTTATTTATTTTACGGCTTCAGTACAATGAACTGTATGAAATGCCCAGTGATCAGTAAGTAGCATTGAGTTCATGAATCTGGGAAGACTGAATCTTCAGAGGGTGGAAGGTTAAGAGCAGTGACTTATGTTTAGAAAGTTCCTTTGTGCCATAATTGTGGGGTTTTCTGGTTCACTAAGTCACCAACTGTGTATCTGAAAATTCACTCTGTTTCAAAATTGCTGAATGCAGTTCTATGCATCAAGACTTAAGGGAATAGGGACAGAAGGACACACTGCCTTAAGAAAGAAAAAAGAGTTTAGTGGATCATATAACTGAAACACCCACTGACAAGACTAGCTTCAGGTATGGCTAGATCCAGGTACTTAGAAATTATTATTAGGATGCAGTCTTTTACTGAATTCTATACTTTTCCTTGGGCTCTTTTCTGGGATTATAGCAATGAATATTTCACTATCTCCACATCAGGGAACTGAGATGCATACAGTAAAATGAATTAGAATGTATTATATGCAATAATAGAAGCACTTACAAAAATATAACCCTGACTCAGAGAGGGGAAAGGCAACTATTTCTGAGGAGGTGGACAAAGACTTCAGAGGAAACATAGAGTTTAAACATTTTTTTGAAAAACAAGTAAGAATTTTACAGATAGGTAAATTAAAGAGAAGATAGAGTTCATTGCCTTGGTTATGACTTTTAGGAGATCTTTATTCAGATCTCAGCTCTGTCAGTTAAGAACTGCACAAGCCGTGGCAAGTTTCTTAAACTTCCAGGGTCTTCGTTTCCATGTGTGGAAATTGGAATTGGAACTATAGAGTCCATGGAATTATCTTAAGAGCCAGTGAGAGGATGGGTATCTAGGGAGTAGACGGGGCTGGCAGAAAGTAAGCCCTTCCTCACTGGTTGCTGTCACCCCAGAGTCATCACCTCCCCCTGCTGTACCTGAAGGTCAAGTTTTGGGTTAGGGGTCAGCATCAGCCAGGGAAAGCAGACTGGCACTTACTGCATACTTCCTGTGTGTCACAGAGTACCTCTCACTTGACCTTCCTAAATCCTCCCTCTATAGAGCAGGAAAGTTGTTAGCATCTCATTGATGAGGGAACTGGAGCTTTAGAAATTCAGGGGGTCTGCCAAGGTGACAGTGTCACTAGATGGTGTGCTGGATGTTCCACCCTAGGGCTGCCTGACCCTGGTGCCCATGGGCCTGAGTGTCATTCATATTATATTTTCCACGGGGCACTATCACTCACCGCCTCCCCTGGGTGGACATGGCTTCTGGGTGCCGTTGCTGCCACTCACCTGTGTGCCACCCACTTCTGGAAGCATTGCTGGTGACACCGCTGTGTTTGAGCGCTGTGCTTGCCGCTCAACTGAGCTGCCTGGCACTCATCCCGTGGTCTGTGCTTCCCTTGCAGGTGAGCCTTCCCGGTGGTCCTCGCATTGTGATTGCTGCTGTAAGAACGGCAAGGGTGACAAAGAAGGGGAGAGCGGCACGTCCTGCAACGACCTCTCCACCTCCAGCTGTGACAGCCAGTCTGAGGCCAGCTCTCCCCAGGAGACGGTCATCTGTGGGCCCGTGACACGCCAGACCAACATCCAGACTCTGGACCGTCCCATCAAGAAGGGCCCAGTCCAGCTGATCCAACAGTCAGAGATGCGACGGAAAAGTGATCTGCTCCGGACTCTGACTTCGGGCTCTAGGGAGTCGAACATGAGCAGCAAAAAAAAAGCTGTTAAGGAAAAGCTCTCCATTGAGGAGGAGCTAGAGAAATGCATCCAGGATTTCCTAAAGATCAAAATTCCAGATCGGTTCCCTGAGAGAAAGCACCCTTGGCAGTCTGAACTTTTACGGAAGTATCATCTATAGGGGAGGGCAGGGGGGTAGGAGAAGAAAAGAACAGAAAATGAGTCACCATTTTAAAATAAACCTCCTAAAAAAGCATATTTTAAAGGAAAAGAACAAGTAATGACACACATTTGTTAGAACACGATAGTCCATTAATAAACTACTGCCTACTTTACCTAGTTCACCTTAACGTGTAAATCCACAGGGTAGATTTCTTTCCAGATGTGGAAACACATGAAAACTCTTGTTGTTGTTCATTTGTTTGTTTGTTAACTTGGTCCCGTGTGCTGGGTATCTTACACGTGATGAAAACCAGCTACAGCAGAGGGGCTGACAGGCTTTGGGAGTCATCTATCCCAAACTGGGTTTTTTCCTCTCATCTTCTACCTCCCTCCTTTGATCAAGGATACATGGTAGAGTGAGATCTGGCCCAATGGCATAGGTTTGGATTTTTAAAATTTTCCTTTTCCTTTGTTTAAGGGGTTAGGGGGGAATGGCAGATTTATATGACTTTTCACTTAAATCTCTATGTGCCAGTTTATATTGACTCCGTATGCATGAGTATTTGTGCCACACAAGCACAACTAAGTCTGTATATAGACACAATGCACATGACCCAGGGCCTGGGCATCCTAAGGGCTGTGCCCTGCTGCCAGCAGTCCCTCCTAAAGCACTTGACACGGATGCGCCTCTGCCTCTTTCTTAAAACCCTCCTGGGCAGATTTCCCAGCAACTCTTGGCAACACTTTCAAACATTGAATAACCTTCATCATCAACAAATTGTCTTCCTTATTTTGAAATTAATACCTTCAGGCTCCACTTTCCTGTTTTGTTCTTTCTCCGTATTTGGAAAAGGTGAGAAGAGCTAGTACAACCTTCTTTTTGTATTAGAAAAAAAAAAAAAAGAAACACTCATAGCCACAGGGGGGAAAAAAAAAACTACTAAATGATCCCACACTCAGCCTTCTCTACCCTGAGTTGGATTATCACCCTCCTCTCAATACCAACACTTTCATGCTGTGGTCTTTCCACATAATTCACCCAAAGTTCTCTGTACTCCTGTACAGCTGTGGAGCTAAGAAAAACAGACAGAATTTGAGTAAGGGCCCGGCCTTTCATTTGTTTGTTTTAGAATTGCATTCCACACATTCTCCCAATAATTTCTCATAAGGATTTTAAAGGACAGTGCTACACTGTTATTGCTTAGGGCTAGTTTTGGTTGCCTTTGTGTTTCTGGGATTGGCTGTGTCTGTACTCGGATTTAGTTGTCATTTCTATTAATCATAACCCAAGTAGGCAATTGGGGATCTGAAACTAAGATGTTGGCTTTCTAAGCTATCTTTACAAATCACATCCTTTACCTGTACAGACACAGCCAAAAAGAAACTTAATAGCCACCCATTCATGTGACTCTGTATTCTATTAATGTACCAATAGCTCCTTTGTAGACTTGTGCTTAATGAAGGTTAACAGAACAGTTTTAATTTTCAGCATTTCTTATGCATTTCAGTAGTAACTGAAAAATAATTTATTGATTATTAATTGTGTGCCAAGCACTTCTAATTTTTTTCATTGTGTGTGTGTGTGTGTGTGTGTGTGTGTAATCATAGGTAATAAAGGCAACTGGATGTCTCTAGGAGGGAAAAACTATGATCAATTTCTTCTCTTGGAAATCTTTCACTGATGTGCATTTACTATGTAAGAGGTTCCGTATTGATTTCTGTTAGTGCCCATTAGTATCTGGATATCTTTCTGAATTTTTGTAACTCTTGCCTTCACACCCGGGCAATAGACTTAGCCAATGTTTTCTTGTTCTAATGGTTCAAATGGAGTTTAAGTTTTACTTAAGTGAAAAAGAAAGTTTATTTTGGAAGTTGAGATGTCAAGAGAACTATAATTTATGAATTCAAATGGTGTTCTTTTATGTGTTAATATATTAGCATATATTTGATCTTAACTACAACATAGCTTTGTTTGTAAAACCTACCAATATGTCTTCATTCTTTTCAATGTTTCTTGATGGTGCATCAAAATACCATCATTCTAATAAGAGAACATATTGCAAAGAATTACAGAGATCAATGGGTCAAGAAGAAGTTGCATTTAATGTCCATGTCAGTCAAATGATTGTTGGGGTCACTCTGGAAGGGCTGTCAAAAAAATTGGGGGCCTAAGTAAATTGGCCAAAATCCTGACTTCCTTAAATGTCAGACCTAACTGTAACGACATCAAGATAGAGAGATGCCCTGATAAGAATTGAAGAACTGGCCTGGCAGTCAACCCACTGCTTCAACAGTATACTTCAAATAGAAAATTAAATGCTGAAAAAAGAAAGAAAGATTAAAAAAAAAAAAAAGGAATTCATAGCACTATTCCTCTACTCCCTGAACTGTTGTGATTTCTTTTTCTGTGCAGGCATTCTTTATACCTCCAATGAGTAAAACTACTAGCAGGAAATCTGTTAAAAACAATGACACAACATTTTTATTCTGGGTTGGTTCTAAATTGGCACCCATTCCACGGTTTAAAAAAAAAAAAGTCTTAAATATTTAAGACAACAACATGGTGTTCATTTGTGTGGGTCTTGGTATAGAGATGAATGTAGACTGGGTTAGTAAAAGGGTGTAAGGAAACATGAAAGTCTTCAGTCCTACTGTGAGTGTAGTTATCACCACACAGGGTCCAGGTGGCATGTAGTACTGGAAATAAGTTTGGGGTAAGTGAATGACAAAATTAAATGCTCTAAAAGTCCTGGAAGTCAGGTCTCTTTCACTGAAGTTATAATAGTTTTCGGAACTTTTAGTTCAATTTTGGACAGAACAACATATGTGGTTGACTATTGAAGATTGGTTAGATAAGGGCCATAAAGTATTGATATGACAAAACTAATGGTAACTGATGGGTCAATGAGTAGGAGATCATATGTGTAGACTCCCAACTTAGGCTGTGTCCTGGAAAATCTGGCAATGCTAAATTCAATGAGGTGGGAGAGGTCATTCCCTAAAGGCACGTGGGTGTCCCCAAGTCAGAAACACTTACAAAGTTCTCTATCCTCTATCTAAAAGGAGTGCTCTACATTCAGAAGGAAAAGAGGAAGACAGGAAATAAAAACACTGACTCATTGAAGCAGTGTGCTCTTTCTCCTCTTCCTCAAAAAAAAAAAAAAATCACACTGAGATGTGGTCATGGAAACAACCAAGTAAGGTGGCTCCCAAAGTATGCAGTGGTGTTTTCCTTTGTAATTACAGTCACAGATACCTTCCAGGAAATGCACGCATGGTGATTTAAAATAAAAGGGCAGGGGGAGCACAATCCACAAGCATTCCCTTTGTTCTTTATCCCTCCATAGTGAAATCTGTTCCAGTGGATTCATTTGGGGGACATACATTGATTAAAGGGGTCGGCCATAGAATTTTTCACTTTTCTATTGGGCTTGTTTGATTTTGAGGCAGGTTTATCCATACTCGGAGGTGTGTAGCTCATTCTGGATTTTTCTTATTTACCACTGCTCATGCTTCTGGATTACTTTTGCTTCTCTGGGCTTTATATGCCACTCTGAGTATCCTTTGTATATGCCAAGTAAAACATGCTCTATTGAGAAAAAGGAAAGGCATATGTGGTGTTTCACAAAATTGTTTGACACCAGTTTTCACAGTGGAAGTCAGACATTGATTCTCACCTGTCTTCCTTGGCTACCATTTTATTCTTCCAATTTCTTATCCACTAGCGTGGATTAACCCAAAGCATTTGAGTGCTGTTTTTTGTTTGTTTGTTTGTTTGTTTTTGCCACTAGATACAATGCTGTGGAGTTTGACTAACTTTGGCTTTCTAGATGATCTTTGCTAGAATTAATAAGACGTTTTCCATGAACTTTCAGGAAGAATTCTTTGTCAACTCCACTTGACATAGCAATTTTCTAAGGAAAAATGAAGGGAGTTATTTTTTTCCCCTGGTGCCTCTGTGGCAGATCAATGTTTTGCCAATTTGCATGCTGGCTTATAGGTTTAGCATGGGCCATTTCTTTCCTTAATGTCTTGGTATTGTTGGTGTCTTGTAATCTTGATGGCCCACTGTTCCAATTTATTTATTTTCTTTTACATTGTCAAAATAACACACTAGAGAAAGATTTAGACTGAGCATTCTGTATTTGAAGTTACAATGGAGTTAGTTGTCATTTGTACAGGACTGTACAATGATTAATATCTTTAGAGAAATTAGACCAAATGAAACCTGCTGGAATGGGTTTGATTTATATTGCCTTCATCATTCTGGTTCTAGATGAAATGGTTATTGCTCTCCACCCCTGCTGAAAGAAAAAGAGTCTTAAACTTTAATAATCATAGCCTTGTGATACAACCACAGAGATTATTTGTTTGAAATGCCTGTTTTTCTCTTCTTGCTGTATACATTGGAGTGGAGATTCTTTACCCGGTGACCTCCATAGCAAACAATTTAGCAGCAATTCTCAATATATAGTATGCACAAAAAATCATTTGTAGCACTTTTTCCAGATTTCCTTCACCCTAAATCCAAAGAGCAGAGCCAAGGAATCAGCATTTCAGCTTGTATTCTTCATGATTTTGGTGAGATTGGTCTATGGACCTTACATTGAGAAACTATTGTTTAGTGTTAGATCAACATTTCTCTCACCTCTTAGTGGCATGTCTTCTCATTTTCTTCCCACTACAAATAAGTCAAAGCATATATTTTCATCACCTTAAGAAAAAGGGCCTAAAGAAAAACATCTAGGGCTAATGCACAGTAGATTTCCATGATTCCTTTGCCATTTTATCTGCCTTCCAAATATAATCCCTTCCTTAGAAGGTTTGGTGTGTGCCTTTTTTCCCCAAACCACAAGCTTGTATCATTTAAGTTTTATCCCTGGGTAGAAGGGAACATGTCTCTGAGTGAGATGTATCCTTATGACACCCAATAAGGAATAAGAATATTGACCTTTCTCAAGGAGAACTATTCGTTTCCTTGCTCAGTGCAAGTCAGAGAACTGAGAGTGTTCTATAATTTAATGATGTGTATGGCCCCAAAGGTGGTTCTATTGATGGTATGTACAAATATCATCATAGTGAATATGGAAGTGGTGAATGAATTCAGCTGCTTCACATCAATAAAGTCCTGAGCCATTGAACTACTTAGTTTGCCCAATTTAATTCAAGCAGGACTATGAAGCTCTCAGATA